CCACAGTCTTTCCTCTGGAGTGCAAGGCCGACGTGCCTGGCGCCCTCATCCCCTGGCTTGTCTCTGCGCGTGTCCACCGCGGTCTCCCTGTCTTGTGTCTTCACTCAGACCATGGTGGCGAGTTTGCCTCAGGTGTCCTTGGTTGCTTTTGTCGTGCGGAGGGCATCACCCACACGTTCACCCTACCGGACTCCCCACAGCAGAATGGGGTCGCTGAGCGACGCATCGGTTTGGTCATGGAGGTGGCTCGCACCTCCATGATCCATGCCGGTGCACCCCATTTTCTGTGGCCGTTCGCTGTGCGCTACGCGTCTCACCAGCTTAACCTGTGGCCGCACCCCCAGCAGCCGCGGGTTTCGCCGACCCGTCTTTGGACTGGGTCCCCTGGTGACGCGTCTGCGTTCCACGTCTGGGGCTGCCTTGCTCACGTCCGTGCCTCTGGCACGGACAAGCTCACTGCCCGCACCCTTCCCTGCGTCTTCCTCGGTTTTCCCCTTGACGCATCCGACTGGCACTTCTACCACCCGCCGTCTCACCGGTTCTTTCACTCTCGCGACGTCACCTTTGACGAGTCCGTCTCCTTCTACCGTCGCTTCCCCCACCGCGGTCCCCCGGTTACCCCCCCCCTGTTCCTGGTCACTCCTTCCCCGGTAGTCCCTGCCCCTCCTCCTCCTCGTCCCCGTCCTGCCCCCTCTGGTGTGTCTGACGTCACCCCCCTTCCGTCGGTGGACCCGGTTGAGGAGTCTTCTGACTCTGGTGGCCCTGCTGCGCAGTCCTCGCCGGCCGCCCCTCCCCCGGCGTCCCCTCCCCAGTCCCCTTCTTCACCGCCTCTGCCGTTGCTGCAGCCGTCGTTGTCGCTGCCGCCGCTGCCGCCGCCGCCGCCGCCGCCGTCGCAGCACCCGTTCGCTGACTCTGGGGGTGCTCGTCCCTGTCGCCCTGGGGGTGGTCCCTCTGGGGGTGTTGGTGTGGAGTGTGACGGTGGTAGCCGAGGAGCAGCTTGCGGTCCAGGTGTCGCCGTTGTGCCGCCGCAGCAGCAGTCCCCGCCGGTGTCAGCCCTTCGCCTGCTCGGCCTTCCGTCCCCCGACCCTGCGTCTGTTCCTCCCCGGCCGTCTCCTCCTCTTCCCGTCTACGGCCCTGTTTTCCCTCCGCCGGACTCGTCCCCGGCCCGTCTTCCCCCTCGTTCCCCTCCTGTGTCCCCTCCCCTGTCTCCTGACCCGACCCCTCCGTCGCACGTCTGGTCTCACCGTCCCTCCCGTGCTCGTCCTGCCTCGCCTGTCTTGCGCTCCCACCCTATGTTGTTTCGTTCCCACGCGTCTCGTCCTCCCCTTCTGCCGTTGCCTCCTCTGTCCTCCCTTGTTGTTGCACCCCCCCCGCTGTCTGACTACCTTCGTGCCGCTCGTCCTCTTGTTCCTCGGGTCCTTGCCTCTCTCGTTACTGACCCGTCTGTTCCGGTCTCGTGCCTTGACGCTCTTGTCGCTGCGGTCGCTGACTTCGCCTCTACCCGCCGCCTTGACTACGCCACAGCTCTGGTCTCTGACCCTGCCTGTCCTCCGTCTGTCGGGGGTGCTCCTGCCCTTGGCAGTGACGTCCTGGAGGACCGCCAGTTCGAGCTTGCTTTCCTCTCCGAGGCTGCTCCCCATCTCTGTTCCATGCTGCTAGTCCCTGAGGGTGACCCAGACGCTTTCGACATCCCGACCCCTCGCACTTATGCTGAGGCGACTTCGGGACCCTGGGCCTCGCAGTGGATAGCTGCCATGGAGCAGGAGATGGCATCTTGGAGATCCACCGGCACTTTCGTCGACGCAGTTCCCCCACCTGGGGTGAACGTAGTCGATGGCCGCTGGCTCTTCAAGGTGAAGCGCCCTCCTGGAGAGCCGCCTGTGTTCAAGGCGCGCTATGTGGCTAGAGGCTTCAGTCAGCGTGAGGGGGTAGACTTCTTCCAGACCTTCGCTCCGACCCCGAAGATGACTACTCTTCGGGTTCTGTTACACCTAGCTGCTCAGCGTGACTACGAGCTTCACTCCCTTGACTTCTCCACTGCCTTCCTTCAGGGCAGCCTACACGAGCAGGTCTACTTGCGTCGCCCTCAGGGCTTTACTGGCACCTTCCCTCCTGGGACCCAGTGGCTCCTGCGGCGCCCCGTCTACGGCCTGCGCCAGGCTCCCCGTGAGTGGCACGGCACTCTCCATGCTACGCTTGCTGACCTGCAGTTCTTTCCGTCTTCCGCAGACCCCTCACTCTTCGTTTCTGCTGGCCAGACTCCGTTCTACATTCTTGTTTACGTCGACGACCTGGTCTTTGCCACAGCAGACAGGGACGCACTGGCCTCCGTGAAGGCAGAGCTGCTGAAGAGACACACGTGCACTGACCTTGGAGAACTGCGCCGCTACCTTGGCTTGCAGATCTCCAGGGACAGAGCGTCGCGCACCATCACCCTGACTCAGTCACACTTGGTGCGCCAGGTCCTTCAGAGGTTCAGCCTTCAGTTCTCCTCTGCACAGCCCACCCCTCTGCCTGTAGACCACAGACTCTCCGCTCCAGTGTCTGAGGAGTTGGTAGAGCCCAGCGGCCCCTACGCAGAGCTGGTGGGTTGCCTCATGTACCTGATGACTTGCACTCGCCCAGATCTCGCATACCCTCTCAGCATCCCGGCTCGCTTTGTGGCCACAGGCAGACACCGACCGCAGCACTGGTCTGCCGCTAAGAGGGTTCTGCGTTATCTTGCTAGTACATCGGGCATGGGGTTAGTGCTAGGAGGACGCAGGCCAGTGGTCCTTACTGGACACACAGACGCTTCGTGGGCAGACGACGCCGAGACGCTCAGGTCTACCCAGGGCTACTGCTTCAGCCTTGGCTCAGGTGCCGTCTCGTGGAGAGCTTCCCGCTCCTCGTCTGTTGCTCAGTCCAGCTGTGAGGCTGAGATCTACGCTGGTGCCATGGCGGCACAGGAGCTCCGCTGGCTGACCTTCTTGCTCACTGACTTAGGTGAGCGGCCTAGCTCTGCCCCGGTCCTGTTCGCTGACAACAGGGCCATGATCCTCCTGTGTCAGGAGCCTCGACTCGAGGGCAGAGCGAAGCACATTCAGCTGCGGTACTTCCTCCTGCGTGAGCTACAGCAGCGACGTCACGCTCGCGTAGTACACTTGGCATCAGGTGCCAACGCAACTGATATCTTTACGAAGGCGCTTGCGCCTAAAGATCATTAGCGGCCCGAGTTCTCTTCTCCACATCTGCAGTGGACACGTACAATGGGGAGCACAAAACTTTTACGAGTTTTTGGGTGTATTGTACAATTTCGTCCTCCAAGTGCAGCTCTCGGCAAATTTTCTGAACGAGCAAAATGGGGGGTACATCTCGGCATCGAAAAACATTATCATGCGTGGAAGATTTTGGATCTCCGCTCAAACCAAATCATCCCGTCACGTGATTGTCTTTTCTACTAAAGACTCACCTTGCCCGTTTTTCGTGCCCACCATGCAGCCGCTGCCAACCCCGCCAGTCTGTTCGAAGGCTCGCGTGCGTTTGCCACTGACGAGGCTGAAGCTGATGTACAGGACGAAGCAGTTTCTGAAGCATCCGAAGCTGCCGCAACTGACATTCCCGAACCTGTAACCTCGACTGGCATACCTGCATTCATTCCTCTTGCAGATGCTGCCCCGGATGATGTTCGCGAAGTTCGTCTCAGCTATGAACGTGATCGCCAACAGCAGCCGATGCCCGTCGTCCCCGACGAAGCCGTTCGTGTTACACCTGCCGAAATTGGGGGGGAAGAAGGACCAGAAGAAAATTTTGCAGGTGCAAACGAAGAACGTCCGCGTTTTACAGAAACAGGATTGCAGATACTGGGATTTGCAGTAGCAGTACAGCGCAACGACAGTAAATTTCCTGAACCGAAAACCGTCCGACAAGCTCTTACGAGTCCTCACCGAGAGAAATGGCGCGGAGCCATGGACAAGGAGCTAGCAGCACTCAAGAGTCGCGGCACATGGGACTTAATACCGACTTCAGAAGTAAAAGGGAAGAAGGTACTTACAGGAAAATGGGTCTTCTGCGTCAAGACTAATGCAGATGGGTCGTTTGAGAAGTTCAAAGCACGATGGGTCGTTCGCGGATTCGAGCAGACTTATGGCATCGACTACGAATTGACTTTTGCTCCAGTCGGCCGACATACAAGCGTTCGGATTCTGCTTTGTATCGCCGCCTGCCGTAATCTCCGACTTCGACAAATCGACGTCTCGAATGCGTTTCTCTACGCGCCTGTCGACGCACTCATCCTGTATCTTCACTCGCAGCTGACCATTGCTGGATTTCGACAACTACCGCATGATCAAGGAATGTATCTACTGACCGACAGCAGCAACTACATTCTACCCGTTGCCTGCGTCGACGACATCCTATACGTCAGTACTACCGATTCTCTTGCCGAGACTTTCATACTGAAATTACAGAAAAAATTACAGCTTACCGTCTCCGAAACAGTCTCACAGTTTCTTGGACTAAACATTACCTGTTCACCGACAACTATTCATCTCACCGCTTCTAAGTATGCAGCAACACTCGCTGCCCGTTTCAACCTCACGCCTACTACAGTCTCTACACCTTATCGCTCACTACCGACTGACCACAAACCGAACACTGCACTATTAACTTCAACCGGTTTACGAAGAAGTTTCACGACAGATCTTCAAGAAGTGACACTATCGACGTTCCAGAAATGAAGGGGAGTGTTGTGATATAATTGGTACTTAGCATTTCTGTAAGTCGATTAAGTGTAGTTAGTGTCGGATCTCACTGTAGAACATAAGTCCGTAGAATGACGTTGCAAATAGCGCTCGTCATAAGACAGTCGTTTCAGTCACGCGAACAGTCGCACCTCTTCAATATCATCTAGGGCGCATAGCGCGATAGTGACGACGAACAGGTACATTAGCGAATAGGTACTTTCCGTAGAACTATAAATCTCTGTCAGGTCTTTTCATTATTAACTTTGATTACAACAAGTTCACGTACTCAGGTTATTCAACCTTGACCTTTACATTTTACAAGACTTCCGCTGTCTTACTAGTCTACCATTCCAGCAAAGATCCTGGACCAACACTTGAGGATTTGCCAAGTGTTAGTGTTTATAGTTTTATACTTAGTCTTCTACAACACCAGACGATTTACTTCAAACCCAAACTCTAACATAGCCAACAAACAAAGAGCACCAGAGAAACACCCAATTCGCAAAACCCAACATAGCATGCTCTTTTTACGCCACAAGGATGTTCACAGGGGCCCAAAGCAGGCACCCTGCAGTCAAGCTCATCATCTGACCTCATCTTTCAAGTCTGGTTCTGTACCATGCATCTCCTCGGCTCGCCCTTCACTGTGCTTCATCAACCCAAGAACCTTGGCTGTATGCAGCGCCACAAGTACTTCACCACCCTCCTCAGCGGCTCCCAGCAGCGCCACCACTGCCGATGTCATCTTCTGCCATCATATTTCGAATCTGCATCTGTAGCTGCGCCTGTATCGTCCGTCTCCTCTGCTCCCCCTTCTCTGTGCTTCATCAGGCCATACACCCGGGCTGTGCGTGACGCCACCAGCATGTTCACAGCAGCCCCCACCAGGCACACCACAGTCAAGATCAGGAATATGAGGCGGAAGCAATGCGTGCCGTGGCACGACTTGGGGCCATCCCCATCCCCACCAACAGCAGCAGCACCATCACCACTTTTGCCACCACCACCAGCACTGCCCCCAGTAACGGCTGCCTGTGCTTCCAGGAGGAGCGGCAGGGGAGCGAGGGCGCTGGCATGGCCTCGCGCCCTCACCCACTCCCGCATTCCCTGCCCAAACCAGCTCTGGCCCAACCACCATCCCTGCCCGATTTGCTGTGCCCCTGCTGTTGCCCCCCCTGCTGCAGCTGCCGCTGCTGTTGATGGCAGCATCACCACCCCCAATGTCTTCCGCACGCCTGTGAGCGCCACAGACCCCCCGGCCACGTGTCCGGCTTCCCCCGCACGCAGGAACCACGGCATTGCTCCCTCTAAGCCCGCCATGACCCCTCGGTCTTTCCGCGCCTCTATCTCGTAGAGGTACCCTGCCATCACACCTGAGGAAATGGGCAGGAAACAGAGAGGCGGACAGGAAACAAATAGACAGACAGGGCAGGTCAACTTCCAGGTGTCTCAAGATGTGAGCCTTCTGTCCCGCTGTGCCTGTACGTTGTAGAGGTAGCCTGGCAGCACGCGTGGAGAGAGGGATGGAGTGAAGTGCATGGCGAGACAGCCACAACAGAGCTCGAAACGAACCCCAGGGGAAAGAGACACACAGACAGTCGAATCATTTCGATACGCACAGTCATGTTACAGGACATACCATGCCTTGATAGACCCAGATAGACCCAGGTGGACCCAGCTGGACCCAGATAGACCAGTCAGGTGGACCCAGATAGACCCAGGTGGACCTAGGTGGACCTAGGTTGAGTCAGGGAGAGGGGTATTGCTAACCTGAGAAAAGGTAGGAGCCGACAGGAGCAGCAGCGAGTAACGAGTTGTAGAGCAGCCCCAAGCAGCGCCGCCCAAAGAGCTCAGCGGCAATGACGGGCATGACAGCACAGAGGCCCCCGTAGGTGAAGCCGATGAGCAGCGAGCCCAGGTAGACGCCGCCAGGGGGGGCGAGGGCGAAGGCCAGGTGACCCACTGCCATGAGCAGTTGGATGGCCGCAAGAGCTATGGGGCGAGGCATGCCGTGAGTCCTGAAGGGGTGATGGAGAAAGGAGTGAGTGATGTTAAGGGATGACGGGCATGACGGCACAGAGGACCCCATAGGTCAAGCCGATGAGCTGTGAGTGACCCCAGGTAGACCCCAGCTGGGGGCGCGAGGGCGAAGGCCAGGTGAGCCAATGCCATGAGTGGTTGAATGGCCACCAGAGCGATAGGCCTGGGCATGCCGTGGGTCCTGAGGGGACAGGGCGACAGAATGAAAACACGATTATTGATTGCATGGCGGTGCAGAGACCCCTGTAGGTGAAGCTGATGAGAAGAGAGCCAAAGTAGACGCTGCCAGGGGGGGCGAGGGCGACGGCGGGATGGCCCACTGCCATGAGCAGCTGGATGGCTGCTAGAGCGATAGGCCTGGGCATGCCGTGGGTCCTGCGGGAGAAGGAAGAGGATGACGCCCATGAGCAGCGAGCCCAGATTGACTCCTTATGGGAGGGCGACGGCGAAAGCTAGATGGTCCAGACCCACTGCCCCGAGCGTTGGTTGGCTGCTAGAGGGGCAGGCCTGGGCATGCTGTAGGACCTCTGAATATAGGAGGGGAGGGGTGGGGGGATAGGCAAACGAGGGAAATGAGAGGGGAGGGGGCGAGGGCAGAAGTGTTATGCCTCACTGCCATGAGCAGCTGGATGGCCGCGAGAGCAATAGGCCTGGGCATGCTGTGGGTCCTGAAGGGGAAGGGAAAAGGATGACGCCCATGAGCAGCGAGCCCAGATTGACTCCTTATGGGAGGGCGACGGCGAAAGCTAGATCACCCAGACCCACTGCCCCGAGCGTTGGATGGCTGCTAGAGCGGCAGGCCTGGGCATGCTGTGGGACCTGTGAGTATACGAGGGGTGGGTGCCCCACTGCCTTGAGCAGCTCGATGGCTGCCAAGGCGATAGGCGAGGGCGTGCCGTAGATTCTGAGGGGAAGAGGAAAGGGTGAAACCTATGAGAAAAGGTCTCAGGTAGACGCTGCCAGTGGGGGCGAGGGAGAAGGCGAGATGCCCCTCACCGCTGTGAGCAGCTGAATGGCTGCCAGGGCCATGGGGCGAGGCGTGTAGTAGGTCCTAAAAAAAGGAAGTGAGGATGGGAGGGAGGTGAGGGAGGTGAGGGAGGGGAGGGAGGTGAGGGAGGGGAGGGAGGTGAGGGAGGGGAGGGAGGTGAGGGAGGTGAGGGAGGTGAGGGAGGTGAGGGAGGGAGACAAGAGGAACGAAAGAGAATCAAGCCGAGTGTGGGGAGCAAAGGCCAGATGGCACACTGCCATGGGCAGCTGAATGGCTGTCAGGGCCATGGGGCGAGGCGTGCCGTGGATCTGTAATGCGTGGAGGTGGGGAAGTTTGGCGGAGTGAGTGGAATGAAACGAAAGGGAGGAATGGGAGGGATGGGAGGGATGGGAGGGATGGGAGGGATGGGAGGGATGGGAGGGATGGGAGGGATGGGAGGGATGGGAGGGATGAGAGGGATGAGAGGGATGAGAGGGATGAGAGGAATGAGGGGCGAGGACAAAGGCCTCACCTGACCAAGTGCTCTGAGAGCGACCCACTGGCCAGGCGGCCCAGAAACTGCCAGATGCTGACGAGCGACGTGAGCACCTGCGCGTTGCTGTAGCCCTGCGCCTCGCCTATCTGCGCCAGGCTCGTGATGGCCGTCAGCCCCGCCCCGAAGCCGCACACCAGGCCCCCGTACAGCAGCCAGAAGTCAAGTGTGGATAGCGCCTGCCAGAACGAATGTTCCTGCCCCAGATACACCCTCCCCCTCTCTGCTCCCCTCCCTTCCTCCCTCCCTGCATTATCTAGAGCACGAGCTGCACCTGCTGCGCCTGCCTGGGCTTGATCGTCCTCGTCTTCGTCCCCCACCTCCTCCTCCTCCTCCTCCTCCTCCTCCTCCTCCTCCTCCCCCTCATCCCCCTCATAATCTTCCCCGTTTTCATGACCACCCCTGCTGTAACCCCCTTTAGGAGAGGATATCCCAGCTACTTTTGACACGTTCTTCCCATGAACGGAGGTCTCCTCCTCCCCAAAGTAATAACTCCAATCGTCCTCCCCCCCTTCCCCCTCTCCCCCTCCCACACTCGCCGCACCTGCCACGTCACCATCCTCAGTGAGGCTGCTGAGGCTCCTCTGGCTACCACGTGGCAGCATCCAATTGGTTCGAGGGCCATGCTCGGGGGTCGTACTGATTCCGACTGCCGCCTCTCCTGCTGTCCGCTTTCTCACAACCTGCCTTCCTCTCCTCCCCTCCTCCCCCTCCCCCCTCTCCTCTCCTAGCTCTTCCCTTTCCTCTTGTCCACTTTGCAACCCCCCAGCACTGCGTAAGCTCTCACTGCGGGAAACGCCGTGCGGCTGTCTGCTACCAGAGGGGCTGCTTATATCGAGTATACCGGACCTGGGCTGGCTGCCTGTATCGCTTCGGTTGGTTCGGGAGTCAGCAGACGTGCCCAGGAGCAGCTGCATGAGGGTTGCTGAGCCTACGCTGCTGTGTGTGCCGAAGCTGCTGGCATGGGCGGCTGCGGTGATGCTGCTGCTGAGACCTAGCTTCGGCATGTCGCCAGACCTATTAGGGCTGACGAATGAGAGGGCTCCAGCCCCTCTTAATCCTGCTGCTGCCGCTGAAGAGGACGAGGAAGAAATGTTTTGAGCTGCAGAGCCAGTGCGTGCTTGGGAAGAAGGTGGTAGGCGGACGGAAGGGGAGGCGCATGTGGGGGAGGTGGATATCGGGGAGGTTCTGGCGTGGCTGGGAGGGGAGGTGGGAGGAAGATGGGGCGAGAGAGAATGGGCAGTTGGGTGTGTAGGAGGAGGGGAGGAGGGCAGGAGAGCACTGGCTCCGTGGAGTGATTCCCCTTCTCGGATTGGTGGAAGCATGCTCGGACTGGCGCTACCAGGTGCATTCTCTGTAGCTGACGTGGCTGAAGATGACTGGAGCAAAGGCTGGGTGAGGGAGGTCGACCCGTGGGCGTGTTCGTGTGAGGGAGAGGGAGAGGCGACCTGAGGGGTGGTGGAAGAGGAGGAGGAGAAAGGGGAGGGGAGGAGGACGGAGGCGGGGGCGAGGAGGAGGAGGAGCATGGTGATGGTGACGGCAGTGGTTGTGCGAGGAGAGAAAGTGGTGAAGGCTTGGGAGGAGATGACGAGGAGGAGGAAGGCGGCTAGCAGCAGGCACAGGCGCAGGATGAGAGAGAAACTGGCGCTCTCCTCTGCTGCCACCTTCGGGGTGCGGGGGGCTGGGGAGCGTGGGGAGGGGAGGAAGGAGGGAGGCAAGCATATGGGGGAAGAGCTTACGAGGAGAAACAGAGGAGAAAACGGGGGGGGGGAGGACATACGCGGAGGGAAGAGGCGGGAATACGAAGAGGGTGAACCGGGTGGGACAAGACTTTTGAACCTCCACAAGGCCAAGCTGGCAAACGACATCCGGGAGAGGGACGAGGCGGACACAGGCATACGGGAGAGGGACGAGGCGGACACAGGAATACGGGAGAGAGACGAGGCGGACACAGGCATACGGGAGAGGGACGAGGCGGACACAGGCATACGGGAGAGGGACAAGGCGGACACAGGCATACGGGAGAGGGACGAGGCGGACACAGGCATACGGGAGAGGGAGGAGGCGGACACAGGCATACGGGAGAGGGACGAGGCGGACACAGGCATACGGGAGAGGGACGAGGCGGACACAGGCATACGGGAGAGGGACGAGGCGGACACAGGCATACGGGAGAGGGAGGAGGCGGACACAGGCATACGGGATTGGGACGAGGCGGACACAGGCATACGGGAGAGGAACGAGGCGGACACAGGCATACGGGATTGGGACGAGGCGGACACAGGCATACGGGAGAGGGACAAGGCGGACACAGGCATACGGGAGAGGGACGAGGCGGACACAGGCATACGGGAGAGGGACGAGGCGGACACAGGCATACGGGAGAGGGACGAGGCGGACACAGGCATACGGGAGAGGGACGAGGCGGACACAGGCATACGGGAGAGGGACGAGGCGGACACAGGCATACGGGAGAGGGAGGAGGCGGACACAGGCATACGGGAGAGGGACGAGGCGGACACAGGCATACGGGAGAGGGACGAGGCGGACACAGGCATACGGGAGAGGGACGAGGCGGACACAGGCATACGGGAGAGGAACGAGGCGGACACAGGCATACAGGATTGGGACGAGGCGGACACAGGCATACGGGAGAGGGACAAGGCGGACACAGGCATACGGGAGAGGGACGAGGCGGACACAGGCATACGGGAGAGGGACGAGGCGGACACAGGCATACGGGAGAGGGACGAGGCGGACACAGGCATACGGGAGAGGGACGAGGCGGACACAGGCATACGGGAGAGGGAGGAGGCGGACACAGGCATACGGGAGAGGGACGAGGCGGACACAGGCATACGGGAGAGGGACGAGGCGGACACAGGCATACGGGAGAGGGAGGAGGCGGACACAGGCATACGGGAGAGGGACGAGGCGGACACAGGCATACGGGAGAGGGACGAGGCGGACACAGGCATACGGGAGAGGGAGGAGGCGGACACAGGCATACGGGAGAGGGACGAGGCGGACACAGGCATACGGGAGAGGGACGAGGCGGACACAGGCATACGGGAGAGGGAGGAGGCGGACACAGGCATACGGGAGAGGGACGAGGCGGACACAGGCATACGGGAGAGGGACGAGGCGGACACAGGCATACGGGAGAGGGAGGAGGCGGACACAGGCATACGGGAGAGGGACGAGGCGGACACAGGCATACGGGAGAGGGACGAGGCGGACACAGGCATACGGGAGAGGGAGGAGGCGGACACAGGCATACGGGAGAGGGACGAGGCGGACACAGGCATACGGGAGAGGGACGAGGCGGACGTACGGGGCGGGAAGAGGCGGACGACGAAGAGGCTGAGGACGCCGATGGCAGCGGGGCCAACGCATGCCAGCAGCAGAAAGGCAGGCGGGTTGGGCGCAAGCAGGGCGGAGTAGATCTGCGTGAAGGGCGGAGAGAGCAGAGAGGGGTGGCAGTGTGGGAAGGGCAAGGGGCAGAGCCGAAAAGGCTGGCTTCAGGAGGAGGAAGGAAAGGGATTTATGCTTGGGATGGGTGCAAGGTGGAGGTGCTGGGAACGACGAACAAGAGGGGAGAGAAGGGAGAGAAGGGAGGGAGTTTAACCATGGCCATGTCAACACAGGCCGTCTGCAATCCCATGCCGACTCCAGTAAAAACATTCTTTCAACCAATATGCATCCCGAGTGAGTGACGCTCCTAGAGGGCCTGATCTTCTCGGGCACCCCTCCCCCTTAAAATGCCAGCCTCCACGTCTCCTGAGTGTGGGAGGCCGAGTTGAGAAGAGGCCGAGCTTCAGTCATACCCCCACCCCCACCCCCATCCCCATCCCCACCCCCACCCCCACCCCCACCCCCATCCCCACCCCCACCCCCACCCCCCTCAATTCTTCTCTCCCCTACCCATATCACGTTGCTCTCTTCTCACCAGCGCACAGATCGCGCCTGCGAGGCCAATGAAGCCCACAACGATGCCTGCCTGCCACCACGCCTTCCAAATGGGCGAAACTGAGCTGCGAGGCGACGAGGCTCCATTCAGACCTCCTTTTACTCCCTTGGCCTCTCCTCACCTGCGCAAATATCGCGCCTGACAGCCCAATGAAGCCCACAACAATGCCCGCCACCACGCCCCCTGAGTGGGGGAAGTTGAGCTGCGAGGAGACAAGGCCCGCTGTGATGAAGAAGATGGACCCGTTGCAGGCGCAGCAGAGCAAGCACCACACCTGAAGCAGGGGTTGAGTGCGGTACAGTGTGGTATTGTGAGGTTCAGAGAAAGAGCGAATGCGAGGTTGAGCTGCAAGGAGACGAGGCCAACGATGAAGAAGATGGACCTGTTGGTGGCGCAGCAGAGCAGACACCACACCTGAAGAAGGGGTTCAGTGCGTTACAAGACGGTTCAGTGATGTTTAGTGCAGCTCAGTGTGGTATGATGCGTTTAAGTGCAGCAAAGAGCAAGAGGGAATGGGAAGTTGAGCTGAGAGGAGGAGACTATTCCAGGGGTGAATCAGGCTGGATGCGCAGTTGGAGCAGCACTGCAACCAGACTACATAGCTAGCACTCGCTAGAGGAGGAGGCTCTTGTTGAGGGTGCACGGAAATAGAAGTGGCTTTGGCGATGGGTTTGGATCTGCTTGCACCCTTTTTAGCTCACCTGCTCACACCCATTCAATCAGCTCACCTGCTATCCTTTGACCTAACCTGGCAGGCAACACCGGACACGAACCATTCAACAGCAGACCTGCCAGAAGGGGGGTGCAGCTATCCTCTGGCTGAGCACGAGCCACAGACCACCGTAGCCCACAAAGCCCTGCAGGGAACAAATCGCAGAGAGCGACGGCGTCAATGGACTGGCCGCACACCCGCGAGCGGCAATGGCAATGGCAATGGAAATGGCAACGGCAAGGGCGCGAGACAATAAAACTTACAAGACATGCAGGTAGTAGCCTTGCGACAAACAAGTGACCAGCATGTGATCACTGATCAGCAAACCTGTCGACTTTAAGGTCACTAACCAGCACAGTGTCTTGCTAGCACAGCACCCTTGAAGAAGCAAAAAATAGCGAACTGACCAGAGCAGTGCCAAGGGCGATGACGAGCCAGGGCGGCACCATGTCCGCCAGCAGCCCTGCCAGCAGCCCCATGTTGTCGCCCAGATCCTTGGCCACTCCGAGCGTGGTGATGGCCTGCTGGTTGTACCCCAGCACGTCCTGCACGCATGCACGCGGTGGGGAGCATGCACGCGGTGGGGAGTAGAGTCTGAGTCGCTGGAAAGCAGATGCAACGGAGCAGGCTCGTGTGCCCCTGGTCACTCCCAGCGTCCTGATGGCCTGCTGGTTGTACCCCAGCACGTCCTGCACGCATGCACACGGAAGGGACAAGTCCAAAGGGACGCGGATATACACGTGACTGGTCGCAGTGCTGGACGAACTCTCATGGCTGCACCACATCTCCTCCCGCTCAAAGGCGAAAGCTCGGTAGTGAGGGGATAACGTGAGCGAGTGGTAGTTCTTAGTACGCGCTACAGGCAAGAAGCATGGCTTTATGATGCTCTTCCGGGGTCGGTTTTGGCTTGAGAGGCAGGCTCTCCGACAATGCGTCCTTTGGAGATGCCGGTACTCAAGACGTCCCAGATGCTTCCAGCGTATATTTGTGCGGCTAGAGACGCTCAGGCGTGTACGTCTGAGGCACTCGCTTTACCATGAACGCTTTAGTGTCAAGAAAGCACTGCAAGCATGCCATTATAGCTCAATGGCTCAAATGCTGCTCAATGGCTGCTCCGTGTTGATCTAGCTGGAACGAAGGAGGCCAGGAGTTAGGGGGCTCTGCATCCGACATGCCTTGATGGTTGGGGAATAAATGGCGAAGTTGTAACTGTTTCCGGCGCACGCGAGCAACCACATTGAGCCAATGAGAGCGAGCCAGCGTCCCTTGGCGAAGCCATGCGATTTGCTTGCTTCGGCCATGGTCGTACAGAGCAATGCACTCCGAGCTGACGACCCCGCACGTTAGTGATCAACTCTTGTCACTCCGAGTCTGGTTCGCACGAATCCCCCGCGTTGAATGGTTAGTTGTGGCATTTGGCCATGCTCATTCCGGAAACACGCCGGCGATCGTAAAGGTGCACGTCCTCGCTTCTTCAATGCGGATATTGATCAGAAAAGAAGCTGCGTTATCATGGTGAGTGTGAAACCTGCTGATAACCGACGGAGTACGGTGGCCCTCACTTCGGCCTTTGCCATACATGCAACCTTGGCTCTTCCATTTACAACTAACTAGACTAGAGCCCTTCCTGGTTTGAATGCAGATTCCTGAGGGGTCTTAGCTTCTGCAGTCAAATCAGTAGGGAAAATTATTCCTTTCGCCGTCAATACGTGCGAGTGATGACTTGGTGCCCTTTTCGAGGTTCGGAGCCAAAACAGGCAGCTATATGAAACCAGTCATCCAAGCTTGCTGCGAAACAAAACATTTTTGGGCTAGCATAGGTACGCAAATCAGGCAAGCAGGCTGCCCGGGGCAAAACAAAACAAACCCATTGGGGCCCGCATGCCGTTTCGGGTTGGGTAAACCCTTCACTCGCGGAGATATGTTTCGTGGGGTGGGTTCGGTATAGCTGGTTGGCGGGGCTATACTGCCTCGGTAAGTTTTAAACGCATAGAAACGCGCCATGTCAGCATGACGGCAGAAGAAATAATTTGCCCCACTGAGTTGATTGCATAAGCTAAAACCCCGATTCCTGATTCCTGAATCCTTCCTTCAGGGGCTTTTTTTGAGGCAGGAGGGGACTTTGGCGGGAAACCTCGGAGTTGGATTGGAGGATGCTGGTCGAAATTTGATGCGCTGTGCCGCCGGGCACACTGGATTGGTGCCACCTACACACACCCTTTTCGCCGAATGGCTTCCTTGTCTTCGTTATCAGCAATTCTTATGTAAAGAACCGTACCTGTGAAAAGGAGGTGAATAGAGTCACAATTTAAATAGTTCACATGTAATAAATGTAGTCAACATACTACTCGATGGTCAAAACAGCTCACATTTATTAATTAGAAAATAAGGTTTGACGGAACCGCCCTCCTATTCCATAAGCTAAAGCATAACAATCTTCCTATCTAGCAAGCTTGGACGAACCACCAGCAATTCCAACAACCATATATCCCGTCTATTTCACTTGCCAATCTCGATGGCATGGCATGTCCCACAATTCCCCCCATTTACCTCGTCGTGCCTCTTCCCCCCATTTACCTCTTCTCACACATGCCTTCCTCTCGCCCTCTTCCTTGAAGCTTGGCCACCCTCAATGCTGCTACCCGTCTCCTCCTCCCCTTCCCCTCCACCATACCCATTCTCCAGCACTCCTGGTTCCCCAACACCCCCCATCCCTCCCACCCCTTCAATGCATCCTACCCCTCCGATACCCCCAACACCAACCGCCTCCCCTCCCCCCCCCTGCTCCACAACACCCCCCACATGCATGCCGGGGTCCAACGCAAACATCGGAGTCTGCAGGCCGTTCATTGCCGCCGCTGCTGTGAACTTCCCTACGTGCGGAGCGGACTCCAACAGCGCCTTCGTCTTGCGCTTCTTCCGCCCTATGCGCACGGTGTCCATCTCCCCGTGCTTGCGCGCCAGGTTGTCGTAGTGCGCGCGCCACCGCGGCATCAGCTCCTCCCACCGCTGCCACTGCTTCCACGCGCCGGGGAACTTCAAGATCGTGATAAAATCGTCGTGCGACATCCGTTTCAGGCACGCCTGCTCCTCATCCGTCAGAATCGCCGACACCGCGCGAACGCCCAAGTGGACAATCATATACGCCGCGGCCGCGTACCCCTTGGCCGCTTCCATAGGGTCATCCCATGTTCCCAGCGTGTGTCGCTGGCCGTCGAAATCGATGGAGCTCTGGAACCGGCCGTAGAGGACCTTCACGCCGTGAAGCCCGGTGACAAGATTCGGCCGCCGCTTACCCGGTACGGAGTCGGTCGATTGATCGGACGGTAGGGAATTGACGACCATGGGAAGCTTGTAGCGCTCCGCTGCTGCTCCATTTAGGACTTTGGATTTTTCGGCTTTAGGCACAGGAGCCTGTGCTAGGGTTAGGCCGCCGTCGACGTTGGCCACGTGCGGCTGAAGCGCGTCGTTAGTGGCGTCGTTAGAGACGTGTAGCTGAAGCGTGCCGTTAGCGGAGTGAAGCTGAAGCTCGTCATTGATATCATGTCCCTGAAGCGCCATGGCTGTGACGGTTAGGAGGTTGTGATGCGGTGCAGTCAGGCTGAAACTGGCGGAAGGTGCCTAGGAACGGTAGGCCGCGGTAGAGTGCTTCTAAAAAAAGCAATAAGAGTCTGAGAAGGTAGAACGCGGTTATGGCGGAAGAGCAGAGATCTCCTACGCGGTTCAGAAAGGTGTGACGCTGGATCTGTTGCTCACGGGTGCGATAAGGTGGAACTCGGTGACAGCGGAAGAGTAGGGGTTTGGTCAGGTGGTGCGAGCGACCCTAGCTGTATTCGTGGGGGGAGGGAGAAGCTGAGTTCGAGGTGTGTGTGAGTAGCCTGGCAGAAGAGGAGGGGTTTCCTGAACTAGTCTGTGCGGTTCAGAAAGATTGTGGTGGTGGGCCTGTTGGTGACAGCTCAGCGAAGGTGAAACTTGGTGGTTGGGGAGGAAGGCTGGGGTTTCGTGCGCGGTCCAGACGGGTGCATGCAGTTGGATCTGTGGGTGACAGCTGTGAGAAGGTGAAAATTGACGGTTCAGAAGGATATTTAGGCGTACTGTGCATTTCAGAGAGGTGTAGTTTTTGGTTGACTGTGCGGGGGAGGGAGGGGGATGGTTGGGTTTGTTGGGGTGGTTGGGTGGGGATGGCGGTGGTTGTGGTTGGGGAGGAGAAGGCTTTCCTGCGTGATTCAGAATGGTGCGCGCGTGCAACGCCGAGTACGATGAGAACCAACAAGAATACACTTCGTGTTCGGTTCTGTGCGTTGGGGTTGGGTGAAAATGAAATTGCAAGTCTGCTTTGCCACACGTGCGAGGAAAGGGAGGAAAGGCGGTTCAGTACGGTAGACTTTCTTGTAGCGTGAAAGCATTCACCACCTGCAAAGTAGCAGCTTCGCGGTACAAGAGCTTCGATTGACACCTCTGTTAACGGTGCGCGAATATGCACTATAATACGTATATGATTACATTAGGTTGCAAAGCATGCTACAAAAGTACACTTCGAATTGCATCCGACTCAAGCTGCTGCCTCCACATCAGAAACATCAGCTTCCTGCTTGAACTGTCCTAGGGAGATCCCCAGGCGTTTCTGCTCCTGCAAGCCTCGTTTATTGAACACCACTGAGCCTCCATTGGCTGATTTGTACGTGATGACTGCACAGCTACACTTCTTGGCACAATGTGATGCCACGTCCCCCGCCAACATGTACTGCAAGTGCACAATCCCAGAAAGAAAATGAAAACGGGAAGAAATGGATAGGGATGTCAATGGCTGTACATGCTGTATAAGATGTCTTGAAAGGCTTCTAAACACACCAAGAACGTCCCAACATGTGGCATTACGAGTGGAAGGGGACAGCGCAAAACTAGTGAATAGAGTGACGAGGAGTACGGCTGAGGGGAGGAGGTCACTCACATGCAAAGTTCGCTTCCCCTGTGATCCCAAAACAACCAGGTCGGCTTTTTCAGCCTCTGCCACCTTGGGTATCACCTTCCTCGGATCGCCCTCCTCCACCTTAACACGCGCTGCGGGGAACCCTTGGGAGCGTACGACTCTAGCGGCGTCGTTGATTGTAGCGCGGATAAACGCGTGGTGGGTCTTAATCTCCGCCTCTGGATCCGGGTAGCTGCTGTACAGAGATGTGAGATCCTTGTCTGATGACGGAAGGGTCAAGAGAGACGGATTTATATTGGAAACGTGAGTAAGATGAGTGGATGTGAGAGGAGGAGATAACAAATGAGAGCTCGCGCTACGTAAGAAGATCTTTCAGCCATTCAACAGAGCAAAACACCATTGGGGAGCAAGGAAAAGGGGGGGTGAAGCACTGTTGAAAGAGCTCGTTTACCAACGTAATTGTGGAGTGGAGCAGTGATAGGGAAGGGACGTGCACGGCGGTTCACATACCTGTGGGTCGAACATGTAATATGATCAGCGTGTCTTGGTCTGAGATTATCGACTTTAGAGCGAACAAAAGAGCAGCGTCGCTCGCGTCGCTGCCGTTAACGGCCACCAGGACTGTTCTAGGCCGCGGCACTGAGTTGGGTTGTTCCGCCGCTTCAACCATCGCGAACCAGCGTGTCGAGCAGGCGGAGCGGGGAACAGATGCACGAGGGAATTGGATGCGGGCGTGCAGAAGCGACAAGTGTAAGCTAGGCTTGCGGGCTTCCGCGCTGCTGGATCGATATTGATGCGGCTGATGAGGCTGATGGGGTCGCAACCACCTGTATTCTCGACTAGGACTAATAGCGTAGCTCGTGTAAAGCGGCAATGCGGGAAGTCGTGACTAAATTACTCTCTGGTTGAGGGACTACTGCTCGTTCATCTAAAGTTTACATAACTCCGCCGCTCGACAGGAGGAGAGACGACAAAGGATGGGCTTCAGGAAACAGACGAATCTGAGCCTCCAATAAACTCCTGCCAGGCGCTAACCGTAGCGGATTCTTCTGACTGAAGCTACGGCAAGCTCGTTCCTCGCAAGCGCAGAGGGAGGGAGACTCACTGCTGAGAAACGGTGGGTGCAATAAGCGCCTACTTCTGGGAGAATTCCAAGTTTCAACGCAGCGTCGTGGATGTACGGCCAGGGAAGTCCAGTGGATTTATCCGTCGTCTTCTAGCCGGAAATCGTCTGCAAGGGGGATCCTCTCGCACGCTCGCTCGCCCGCAACACCCAATTCCTGTTCGGGAATCACCATGGACACTCAAATTATGCCGGAGGCCGTGTTCCTGGTCCATACGGAATGGGCGTGGCGCGGTCCAATTTCGAATCGGAACAAAACAGTCTTTGCTTCCCTGGGGTCAGCCCTTCCTCGCATGATGGTGATGCGTCAAGGGGTTCAGATGACGTGGAATAAGAAACAAGCCACTGTCCAAAGAAATCCCTATCAGCGCCAAGCGCACCGCCATGCCTGTTCGGTTGGCTGTCCTCACTGTTCCCCTGACCACGACGCCTAGAAAAGCGGCAAGGGACATGTCTATGGCGACTCTCATTCACCCCGCTCCATGGTCGTTTCTGGGGACGGTGGGGGTTGCTCAGGTCACATTCCAGGCTGTTACGAACAGATGGCTTCCGAACAGATTCCACACTAGAAGGGTAGCTACCCGTGATTCCGAGAAGTCAAGGTGCTTCTCAGCATGATTTCAGAAATTTAAAAGGTAAACATAACCCATTTTCGGGGTTTTCCTATATTTCCGAGTGATGTGACTTCGAATCCGAACGCGAGCAGGGCGGATTTCTGAACACTCTCAGAAATTTTGAAGGAGATCCAAAAAATACTTGGGACGTGGTTCGGGAACGTCTGAATCCATCTACGAAGCAGGCAATTCCACTTCCGAGCAATCCCAAAAGTTCGGAGACCCACACATCTGTTCGGAGGTATCTGTTTCGAGGCCAGGAATGCCTCCTCACACCGTTACCTGTACAGTTGTTGGTTGGTTCGTTGAGTCGGGCTTTTGCTCTAGTGCTCGCAAGGTGAGAGACATGTGGGCGAATTGGAGGCTCAGGTGAGTGTTTGGGGATTTTCCACGCGGCTCGGCTCAGCCCGAATGTAGCCTTGAAAGGCGAACAGAAGGGCAGGATGTAGGGACTGTCGAGGGTGTTGCGTTGCGATGCGGCCGTGGGGAGATTCGGTTCGGAACGGAAACCGGGGAAACGGGAAAGTGGGAAGGGGGGAAGTAAGAAGGGGGAAAGTGGGAAGGGGGGAAGTGTGAATGGGGGAAGTGTGAAGGGGGGAAGTGTGAAGGGGGGAAGTGTGAATGGGGGAAGTGTGAAGGGGGGAAGTGGAAGTTGGGGAGGGATGCTGGGGGGATGTCGGGGAGTGAGGGGTGGGGTGGAAAGGAGCTCGTGGGGGACCAAGTCTGTCTGGGCAGTGATGGTGACGGGCATTCAATTCAGTGTGTCGAGACTCGAGTTCTCCGCTCATCCGCGTGAACGACGTGGTACTGTATAGGCATCCAACTGGACTGTACATAGGCTTACAAAAACATGTGCTCTTACACAATTTTTGTCCCAAAGCCTCTGAGTAATGCTTTCGTCAAGTATGGAGGCATACGGTACAATGCGCCGCGCCATACCTCAACAGAGAAAGCGCCGTTAAATAGGCTGCCACGAATGCATTATCTTCTGGTTTCGAGAGCCATTATTTGTGGGTTTCATCCAACTTCCATCCACCTCGTGTGAAAATCACCCAGACTTACCGTACTTTCAGCGCACTTCCATATTGCACCAAGCGGTGGCAATTCGCTGTGGGAAGTCCACACTTTTTTTTTTTTTTTTCTAGGAGCTTAAATTAGGCAATGGTAGTGCACTTCCCTTTTCTTTACCAATATCGTAACCGTCATTCATTGTACACTGAGTGTGCTGCTGCAGAGCAACCTGCTGAGATACACACCTTATGCCCACTTGCATTGGAACTGCCACATGGCAAGGCAGTTATTGAACTCTGCGAGAAAGAGGGTGCCAAAAACGACAAGGAATTAAAAACAAGACACAGGTGGATGTTAGTTATTTTAGAAATCTACAAAACCTTTCACATAAGGATGCTACACTTAACATCTGCAATGTGGACCCGCTTGTCACCACTTGAATCGTCACTGCTATTTTCTTGAAAAGGAATGGTGAAAAATGAGAGTGGAACAAGAGTCCGGAATTCAGGCTTATACTGCTTCACGACCCGTGACGTGTGAATGCATAATAAGCATGAATTCCTGACCTTGTGTCAGAAACTTCGCGGCAAGATCAACTCACGACCACGATAATCTCTTCCAATCATGCTGATGCTGCAGAATTGTCACTGCGAACTTCCGGACATGAGGTCTGTCTGGACCTCCTTCTCTAGCAAACACTCACCGTGCAGCCGAGGGGATGCATGTTTTAGGCGCGCCTCAAAGGCATACTCTAAAGAAGCACTCACACTGTGTCGTGATGTTTTAGGTGCCTCAAAACCACAATTTTAAGAAACACTCACTGTGCAGCGGTGTAGATACATCATGAACACTTGTCACAATCCCAGCTCCCGAAAGAGAAGCAGATTCACGAGGAAGGACACCCGTTTCAGGTGAAACGGAAGGTGCTTCAGGTGAAACGCTGCCTACTTCAGGTGAGCTGCCAGGTGTGAGGGCCGGCAGGTGGAATCTGCGGTTGCCTGATGACGTGGCGGCTAGCGGCAGGCAGGGGTGGAAGGAGAATCCATTGACGGTATCTGGGAGGGAGAAAGGGATACGGGGTAGCGGGATAAGGGGTGGCGGGATAAGGGGTGGCGGGATAAGGGGTGGCGGGATACGGGGTGGCGGGATACGGGGTGGCGGGATCAGGGGTGGCGGGATATGGGGTGGCGCACAGAAAGGTGGAATGCATATGAGGAGAAATGCCATGGCTGCAGCAATGGAGCTGGAAGCGAGGTAAGAAACCCACACCTGACCATTCTCAACATCCGTCCACCATTCCGCACCACACTGTACTGCATTGCACAGAGGCATCAATGTTACCTTGAGCAGCCTGGAAGGATGCGACCTTGGAACCGGACGCGAGGTCAAACACCCACACCTGACCATCCTGCAGTTGAGAGCGGGGGCGGTTAAGAGGGGGGTTGGTTGAGAGGGGGAGCGGTTGAGAGGGGGAGCGGTTGAGAGAAGGAGTGGTTGAAATGGGGCATGCTTTTCACAGGGTGAAGTGGGTAAGTGTAGTTGAGGCAAGAGGTGGCACATCAAAAGCACCCCATCCCCCGTCATGCCTTCACATTCATGTGGCCATGCACCCACCCACCCACCCACCCACCCACCCACCCACGCACCCACCCACCCACCCACCCACGCACCATACCTTCATGCACCATACCCCTCTTCCCGCCTCACCTCTCCTCCTGTGGCTAGATGCCGGTTGGATGGGTCGATGTCAAACGCGATGCGCTGATTGGTGGACGTCACGCACCGATGCATGCTGAGTGGGAATATAGGTATAAAGCGTGACGGCAGTAAGGGTGGATTGTAAGAGACGAATCGATTCACTTGTCTCGTTTCGTCTCCTAATAGAGACAAGTGGATCATATCGTCTCATAGAGACAAGTGGATCATATCGTCTCCTCATAGAGACAAGTGGATCATATCGTCTCCTCATAGAGACAAGTGGATCATATCGTCTCATAGAGACAAGTGGATCATATCGTCTCCTCATAGAGACAAGTGGATCATATCGTCTCATAGAGACAAGTGGATCATATCGTCTCCTCATAGAGACACGTGGATCGTTTCATCCCCTCGTATAGAGACAAGTGGGTCATGAGAGACGAATAGACGAAACATCTCCATCCATATGCGTACAGGTTTCCTCCTGCATGGATATTCAAATCCAGATAGATATCTTCCAGTGTAGGTCTGTCCAGATCCCCAAACCCACATATGTCCAGAGATCCCCAAACCCACATAGCAAAACACACCTGTAAACAGCGCCTGCTGTATTCCGCACATCCCAGCAGTAAATGGTGGGATCCTGGGGAATCGATGGGAAGGAGAGGACTGGTACAACTGAGCGCCAGGAATGGAATAGTGAACATAAGGCTTGAATGCAACAGAAGGGATGCCCCATATGTGATTTTTGAGTCGACTAAAAAATCACCTGGGAATGAGAGGAGAGGAGTGGTACAACTGAATGTCGGGAATGAGAGGAGTGGTACAACTGAATGTCAGGAATGAGAGGAGTGGTACAACTGAATGTCAGGAATGAGAGGAGTGGTACAACTGAATGTCAGGAATGAGAGGAGTGGTACAACTGAATGTCAGGAATGAGAGGAGTGGTACAACTGAATGTCAGGAATGAGAGGAGTGGTACAACTGAATGTCAGGAATGAGAGGAGTGGTACAACTGAATGTCGGGAATGAGAGGAGTGGTACAACTGAATGTCAGGAATGAGAGGAGTGGTACAACTGAATGTCGGGAATGAGAGGAGTGGTACAACTGAATGTCAGGAATGAGAGGAGTGGTACAACTGAATGTCAGGAATGAGAGGAGTGGTACAACTGAATGTCGGGAATGAGAGGAGTGGTACAACTGAGTGTCGGGAATGAGAGGAGTGGTACAGCTGAATGTCAGGAATGAGAGGAGTGGTACAACTGAATGTCGGGAATGAGAGGAGTGGTACAACTGAATGTCGGGAATGAGAGGAGAGGAGTGGTACAGCTGAATGTCGGGAATGAGAGGAGTGGTACAGCTGAATGTCAGGAATGAGAGGAGTGGTACAACTGAATGTCAGGAATGAGAGGAGTGGTACAACTGAATGTCAGGAATGAGAGGAGTGGTACAGCTGAATGTCGGGAATCGACTCACGAACTAAGGATTGATTGCAACAGGCATGCCCCATATGAGGCGAGAGAGGAATGATGCGACAGGCATGCCCCATATGAGGCGAGAGAGGAATGATGTGATAGGCATGCCCCATATGAGGCGAGAGAGGAATGATGCGAAAGGCATGCCCCATATGAGGCGAGAGAGGAATGATGTGACAGGCATGCCCCATATGAGGCGAGAGAGGAACGATGCGACAGGCATGCCCCATATGAGGCGAGAGAGGAACGATGCGACAGGCATGCCCCATATGAGGCGAGAGAGGAATGATGCGACAGGCACGCCCCATATGAGGCGAGAGAGGAATGATGCGATAGGCATGCCCCATATGAGGCGAGAGAGGAATGATGCGACAGGCATGCCCCATATGAGGCGAGAGAGGAATGATGCGATAGGCATGCCCCATATGAGGCGAGAGAGGAATGATGCGAAAGGCATGCCCCATATGAGGCGAGAGAGGAATGATGTGACAGGCATGCCCCATATGAGGCGAGAGAGGAACGATGCGACAGGCATGCCCCATATGAGGCGAGAGAGGAACGATGCGACAGGCATGCCCCATATGAGGCGAGAGAGGAATGATGCGACAGGCACGCCCCATATGAGGCGAGAGAGGAATGATGCGATAGGCATGCCCCATATGAGGCGAGAGAGGAATGATGCGACAGGCATGCCCCATATGAGGCGAGAGAGGAATGATGTGATAGGCATGCCCCATATGAGGCGAGAGAGGAATGATGCGATAGGCATGCCCCATATGAGGCGAGAGAGGAACGATGCGACAGGCATGCCCCATATGAGGCGAGAGAGGAATTATGCGACAGGCACGCCCCATATGAGGCGAGAGAGGAATGATGCGATAGGCATGCCCCATATGAGGCGAGAGAGGAATGATGCGACATGCATGCCCCATATGAGGCGAGAGAGGAATGATGCGATAGGCATGCCCCATATGAGGCGAGAGAGGAATGATGCGAAAGGCATGCCCCATATGAGGCGAGATGCAACAGGCATGCCCCATATGAGGCGAGAGAGGAATGATGTGATAGGCATGCCCCATATGAGGCGAGAGAGGAATGATGCGATAGGCATGCCCCATATGAGGCGAGAGAGGAATGATGCGACACGCATGCCCCATATGAGGCGAGAGAGGAATGATGCGACAGGCATGCCCCATATGAGGCGAGAGAGGAATGATGCGATAGGCATGCCCCATATGAGGCGAGAGAGGAATGATGCGACAGGCATGCCCCATATTAGGCGAGAGAGGAAAGATGCGACAGGCATGCCCCATATGAAGCGAGAGAGGAATGGTGCGACAGGCATGCCCCATATGAGGTGACTTTTGAGTCTTCTCAAAAATCAAAACTGAACATCAGGAATGGACTTGCAAACATGAGGCTTGAATGCAGCAGGGACTTCTTTTGAGTGTGCGATGCAAAAGAGAAATGAAAGCAACAGGGATGCCCCATATGTGCTTGTGAGTTGAGTATGCCATTGTGTGAATGTGAGAAAGGGTGTGCAGACGAGAGTATGCGCGTGAGTGTGTACCTGTGAGTGTGTGCGTGTGAGTGGGTGTGTGCGAGTGTGTGCGTGTGAGTGTGTACATGTGAGTGTGTGCGTGTGAGTGGGTGAGTGTGTGCGTGTGAGTGTGTACCCTGTGAGTGTGAGCGTGTGCACCCGTGTGGGTGCGCGAGCAAGTGAGAGAGCCAGTATGCGGAGCATGCGTGCATGCAGATCAGTTGAGATCAAAGACTGGCCTTCCGTGGGCGGAAGGGAGGGAGGGAGGGAGGGAAGGAGCAAGGACTGACCTTCCGTGCCCCAGAGTAGAGGAAGTTACCATCCCGAGAGAAGAGCACCTGAAGATTGTCAGGGGCAGGTGGGTGGGGGGGTGGGTGGGAGGGAGGGAGGGAGGGAGGGAGGGAGGGAGGATTGTGGCAAGTGAGGAAAACTCAACCTTCCGTGCGCAGGAGTAGAGGAAGATACCATCTCGAGAGAAGAGCACCTGGGAAGGGACGTGATGAGCTGAGGCAGTGACAGGGGGGAGGGGAGGTGAGGAGGATTGTGCAAGGGACAGTCGCAGACCATCCCTTGAATGGGACGGAGCAGAGGCAGTGAGAGGGGGGAGGGGAGGTGAGGAGGATTGTGCAAGGGACAGTCGCAGACCATCCCTTGAATGGGACGGAGCAGAGGCAGTGAGAGGGGGGAGGGAGGGAAGAGTGAGGGCGCATAAGTGAGAGAGAAGTGGGCCTTCAGACGCCTTAGTGACCCCTCCTCTGTGCCTGTGCATGTGCCACTGCCAGCGGCTCCCTGCTAAAGTCAGCATAGAGGCTTCAGGCCCAATGAAGCACCCACACACACATGCACCTGAGGCTTGAGGCTTCCTTCAGAAGAGCTCACCCACCCACACACACACACAGCCCACCCACCCACCCACACACAGAGCCCAACCACACCCAGACATACAGCCCACACACACCCACCTGAGTGACCCCTCCTCTGTGCCCGTGCATCACTGCCATGGGCTCTCTGCCCAAGTCCCCATAGAGCCCCACACTGCCATCATAGGAGCCCGCCGCTAGTAGACCCGGCATAAAAGGGTTGATCGCGAGGGACGAGAGGAGGCCTGGGATGGGAAGAGGGAGTTGAGGGGGAACAATTGAGATCGTAAGAAAGTGACCCTAGAGCCCCACAGTGCCGTCATAACCCGCAGCTGGTAGACCCGGCATAACAGGGTGGACAGCGAGAGACGAGAGCAGGCCTGAGGAGGGTAAGAGGGAGGAAAGGAAAGCCACCTTAGAGCCCCATCCTGCCATCATAGGAGCCCCGTTTAGCCCCATGCCACCATTGCAGATGCCAGGGATGATGGGGTTGACAGCGAGGGGGGAGAGGAGACCTGAGATGGGAAGGGGGAGTTGAGGGGGAGCAATGGAGATAGTAAGTGTGCATGGAGCAGCACACTGAAGTCGTAGGAACCAACCGCCGATAGACCGGAGATGAAGCGGTAGGCAGCGAGTGAAGAGAGGAGGCCTGGGGATGATAGAGGTGAAGGGGATGGTAGAGGTGAAGGGGATGGTAGAGGTGAAGGGGATGGTAGTAGTGGTGATGGGGAAGAGTAGGGGAAAGGGAGGAAAGGAGAGCAGCAGAAAGGAGAGCAGATAAGATCACTTGAAGGCTGCGCTGTGTTTCCAAGTGTACGCGGGTTCCCAACCTGGTATACCCCTGCCCCTTTCCCGCCTACCTGTCTGCCTCTGCCCCTTTCTTCCCCTTGCGGTGCTGCTCACAGTCCTGCCCCTGTGTACTCGTGTTAACCCCCCTCTCTGCTGCCGCCTTCTCTGCACCTCCCCCTCCTTCTCACGTGCCTTTCTGCCCCCCTGCTCCCCATGCCTACCTGTCTGCCCCGGCCCTTTCTTCCCCGTGCTGTGCTACTCACAGTCCTGGCCAGGTATGCTGGTATATCAACCACCACACCACCACCCCCACCTTCCACCCCAAACTAGATGCACCTGTCTGCCCCTGCCCCTTCTTCCCCGTGCTGTGCTGCTCACAGTCCCGCCCTGGTATGCTCGTGTCAAACACCCGCAGGCAGCGAGGAAAGCCCAGGACTAGCCTGGGGATTAGGGCAAGGGAGAGACAGAACAGGGGAAGGGGAAGCCAAAAGGGGAAGGCAAAAGGGGAAGCGCAAGGGGAAGCGCAAGGGGAAGCGCAAGGGGAAGCGCAAGGGGAAGTGCAAGGGGAAGCGCAAGGGGAAGTGCAAGGGGAAGCGCAAGGGGAAGCGCAAGGGGAAGCGCAAGGGGAAGCGCAAGGGGAAGCGCAAGGGGAAGCGCAAGGGGAAGCGCAAGGGGAAGCGCAAGGGGAAGTGCAAGGGGAAGCGCAAGGGGAAGCGCAAGGGGAAGCGCAAGGGGAAGCGCAAGGGGAAGCGCAAGGGGAAGCGCAAGGGGAAGCGCAAGGGGAAGTGCAAGGGGAAGAGCAAGGGGAAGCGCAAGGGGAAGCGCAAGGGGAAGCGCAAGGGGAAGCGCAAGGGGAAGTGCAAAGGGGAAGCGCGAGGGGAAGCGCGAGGGGAAGCGCAAGGGGAAGTGCAAGGGGAAGCGCAAGGGGAACGGGAAAGGGAGACAAAGAGAGACAAGGGCGTCGAACACACGCGGACAGCGAGGAAAGCCCAGGAATAGCCTGTTAAGGTGGGGCGAGGAAGAGACGGGAAGGCGGGAAGGATAAGGAGAGAGGCGGAGAGAGAATGGTGGCAAACACCTAGAGACAACGGGGGAGGCCAAGCACTCGTCTGTGGAAGAGTGGGGGTTGATGGGAGAACGGAGGAAAAAGGGGGCATCAAACATTTGGGCAGCAGGGCAAGGCGAGAATAATTTCCGGGCGTAGGGGAAGTGAATCGCACGAGGGGCCTATTTCTGAGGCGCCTCAATAATATATTTTCCAAGGGAAGATGGAAAGGAGTTGGATTCTATCCACAGCAAGCCTCTTAAGAGTAGATCTAACGCTAGAATCGAGATTAACTGCGAGAAAGGTAACACACGATTTTCTTAGTCAGAACGCCAGACACAATAGGCCCGGATGTCGTGTGCGAACGCGACTCGATCAGCAATAGGCCTTCAAGGGTAGGGGAAGTGAATCACACGAGGAGTGGCAGGGGGGGGGGGCACATGGGATGGGGAATCGCGAGGGAGATATAAGGCAAGGAGGGAGAGAGGAGAGGAAAAAAGGAGACAAGGAAGGAAGAAAAGATCCCCTCACCCGTCGACTCACCTGAGCACAATCACTCATTGACTCACTCCCTTATTCGTTCAATGCACTGACACAACCACCTCACCCACTCCCTCACTCACTCCCACACTCACTCACTCCCACACTCCCTCTCACTCACACTCCATCACCACTCGTCTCCATGAACGAGAAGGTCAGCGTGAGACCTGTAGCGATAACATCCGTGTGGCCGTCTGCTCTCACTCTTCAACGCTCTCACATCCTCACTCACTCCCTCACTCACTCACCACTCACTTATCCCCATGGGCAGAGAAGGTGAGTGAAAGAGCAGCAGCGATCTCGTCCATGTGGTCGTACGCACGGTACGTGCAGCGCAGCTGATGGGGTGGTGGGAGGGTGCGGGGGGGGGAGCTACCGTTGAGGGAATAAGCAACAAGATGCATGACAACGGCAACAGCAATCAATCCCATGCATGTGGTCGTACGCACAGTACGTGCAGCGCAGCTGAAGGGGTAGAGAGTGTGGAGAGGGTATGGGTGGGTGGGGCGAACGGAACAAATGAGGGTGTGCGAAGCAAGGGGGCAGCACAGCAGCGATCTTGTCTCGTCCCTGTGGCCATAGGCATGGTACTTGCAGCGCAGCTGATGGGATGTGTGGCGAGCACATGGGAGAAGAGACAGAAGAGAAGAGAGGGAAAGGGCAATGAGAGTAGAGACAGCGGGTGATGTAAGGGAGAAAGTAGGAGCGATGTCATCCTTGTAGTCATCGGCACGGAGCACCGGTAGGTGCGCCACAGGTGATTGGTGGTGTGTGTGGGAGGGAGGAACGGAACAATTGAAGGTGTATGCAGAAAGGTGACTTTTGAGTCGACTCAAAAGTCACCTGCAGAAAGGGGAGCAGCACCGCAGCGATCTCGTCCATGGGGTTGTATGCGTGGTACGTGCAGTGCAGTGCAGCACGGCTGATGGGATGCGTGCGTGGGGTGCAGAAAAGGGAAGGGACCCGCGGAAATGAGTGGGGCAATGCGAGTAGGGAAGGGCAATGCGAGTAGGGAGGGCAATGCGATAGGAAGGGCAAATGCGAGTAGGGAAGGGCAATGCGAGTAGGGAAGGGCAATGCGAGTAGGGAAGGGCAATGCGAGTAGGGAAGGGCAATGCGAGTAGGGAAGGGCAATGCGAGTAGGGAAGGGCAATGGAGAGTAGGGAAGGGCAATGCGAGTAGGGAAGGGCAATGCGAGTAGGGAAGGGCAAATGCGAGTAGGGAAGGGCAATGCGAGTAGGGAAGGGCAATGCGAGTAGGGAAGGGCAATGAGAGTAGGGAAGGGCAATGCGAGTAGGGAAGGGCAATGCGAGTAGGGAAGGGCAATGCGAGTAGGGAAGGGCAATGCGAGTAGGGAAGGGCAATGCGAGTAGGGAAGGGTAATGCGAGTAGGGAAGGGCAATGCGAGTAGGGAAGGGTAATGCGAGTAGGGAAGGGCAATGCGAGTAGGGAAGGGTAATGCGAGTAGGGAAGGGCAATGCGAGTAGGGAGGGCAATGCGAGTAGGGAAGGGCAATGCGAGTAGGGAAGGGCAATGCGAGTAGGGAAGGGCAATGCGAGTAGGGAAGGGCAATGCGAGTAGGGGAAGGGCAATGCGAGTAGGGAAGAAGGGGCAATGCGAGTAGGGAAGGGTAATGCGAGTAGGGAAGGGCAATGCGAGTAGGGAAGGGTAATGCGAGTAGGGAAGGGCAATGCGAGTAGGGAAGGGTAATGCGAGTAGGGAAGGGGCAATGCGAGTAGGGAAGGGCAATGCGAGTTAGGAAGGCAAGGAGTAGGGAGGGCAATGCGAGTAGGGAAGGCAATGCGAGTAGGGAAGGGCAATGGAGTAGGGAAGGGCATGCGAGTAGGGAAGGGCAATGCGAGTAGGGAAGGGCTGCGAGTAGGGGGGGGGGGGGGAATGCGAGTAGGGAAGGGCAATGAGAGTAGGGAAGGGCAATGCGAGTAGGGAAGGGCAATGAGAGTAGGGAAGGGCAATGCGAGTAGGGAAGGGCAATGCGAGTAGGAAAGGGCAATGAGAGTAGGGAAGGGCAATGCGAGTAGGAAAGGGCAATGAGAGTAGAGACAGAGGTAAATGCAAGGGAGATGGCAGCAGCGATGTCATCCATGTGGTCGTATGGAGGGTATGTGCAGCACAGCTGATGGGGTAGTGTCAGTGGGAGTAAGGGAGGAGGAGCAGGGGAAAGGAGCGAGAAGGAAGTCCAGCTAGAAGCAAAGAGCAACGAGGGAGAAAGAGAAGGGAACAAGAGTAGCAGCATCACTTTGATTCACCTGGCCACACCAGAACAGTCATCTGAACACACCTGGTGCCTGCCGCCTGAACACACCTGGTGCCTGCCATGGTGCCCCATGGTTTCCACCTGAATACACACCTGGCGTGCCACCTGAACACACACCTGGCGTGCCACCTGAACACACACCTGGCGTGCCACCAGAACACACACCTGGCGTGCCACCTGAATAGCTACCTGGCCAGTCATGGCGTCCCACAGGTGCACCGGGTGGTCCCTTGATGTTGACGCGAACACGCATGACACGGGATCTGACATGTGATGACGTGGCAGTGCGTACACATGTGAAAGAGAACGTGATGGGGTGGGCTTGCATGGAGTGGTCCCTTGATGTTGACGCGGACACACACGACATTGGGTCTGATGCAGTGGTGTGGGCATGGGATGGCATGGTGCAGTGCGCATATGATGACGTGTGGTGAGTTGACATGAGACGAAAAGGGGCAGGATGGGATGTATGGAGATGTGGGGTGGCAAGAGGATCAGCCAACAGGGGCAAAGCGAATCACACAGGGATTTCACAGTGTGAAAACGATCAGAAAATTAAAACCCAAAGGCATGCACCAATGACGAGGCATACCAGCTGCTGACATGGCAGGGAACCAAGCAAAGTCGTAGATGGTCTCTCCCTCCCTCACAGTCACTGCAGGGGTGAGAGAGTCTGGGTGGGAAGAGGAGGGGATGGGGGGGAGGAGGGGAGGGAAGAGAAGGGGAGGGAAGAGGAGGGGAGGGAAGAGGAGGGGATGGGGAAAGGTCTTGGCAGAAGATCCGGGTGATAGATGGGGCAAGCAGTGCCCGTGCGGCTGCATGTTTACTCTTCCTCTCGCTCCCATCTACCAGCTCGCACAAACACAGACACACACATGTATGTGCAGGAAACAAAACCACGTGAAACATATGTACTGTATGCATAGTGGAGCATATGCATGCTTAGTGGAGCATATGCATGCACAGTGGAACATATGTGTAGTGGAACATATGTATGCACAGTGGAACATATGTGTAGTGGAACATATGTATGCACAGTGGAACATATGCATGCACAGTGGAACATATGCATGCACAGTGGAACATATGCATGCACAGTGGAACATATGCATGCACAGTGGAACATATGCATGCAGACCAAACATAAGCACGTAGATGCAACTGCTCCACTATGCATGCATATGTTATTGTGTACATGTAAATTCTCATGCATGTTCATCACACATGACGCATGTATGCAAGCACGTGCATGCTTTTACGTCGACTCAAAAGCACGTGCATGCACATGCTCATGCGCGTTCATCGCACCTCGCGTGGGAAGTGTGGCCTCATCTTCCATGTCTAATGGAGGAGCTGACGCCAGCATGATGTCAGCAGGCCTGAAGGACACGCGAACAGGTTGCAGAGAATAAGAGAAATTTTACAGCAACAAACGAGCAATCTTACAGTTGGGTAAAGAGAGAAGAAGGAAGCGGGAGAATAAGAGCGGTGAGAGGGGTAGTCGTGCCGGTGCAAAAGCAGAACAATTGGGCTGTGAGGTGCTCGTCGAACACAATGCTCGTTGTTGCATTGCATCAGAGCAGCAAGTGCTCGTTGCTGCATCAGAGCAGCAAGTGCTCGTTGTTGCATCAGAGCAGCAAGTGCTCGTTGCATCAGAGCAGCAAGTGCTCGTTGTTGCATCAGAGCAGCAAGTGCTCGTTGTTGCATCAGAGCAGCAAGTGCTCGTTGTTGCATCAGAGCAGCAAGTGCTCGTTGTTGCATCAGAGCAGCAAGTGCTCGTTGTTGCATCAGAGCAGCAAGTGCTCGTTGTTGCATCAGAGCAGCAAGTGCTCGTTGTTGCATCAGAGCAGCAAGTGCTCGTTGTTGCATCAGAGCAGCAAGTGCTCGTTGTTGCATCAGAGCAGCAAGTGCTCGTTGTTGCATCAGAGCAGCAAGTGCTCGTTGTTGCATCAGAGCAGCAAGTGCTCGTTGTTGCATCAGAGCAGCAAGTGCTCGTTGTTGCATCAGAGCAGCAAGTGCTCGTTGTTGCATCAGAGCAGCAAGTGCTCGTTGTTGCATCAGAGCAGCAAGTGCTCGTTGTTGCATCAGAGCAGCAAGTGCTCGTTGTTGCATCAGAGCAGCAAGTGCTCGTTGTTGCATCAGAGCAGCAAGTGCTCGTTGTTGCATCAGAGCAGCAAGTGCTCGTTGTTGCATCAGAGCAGCAAGTGCTCGTTGTTGCATCAGAGCAGCAAGTGCTCGTTGTTGCATCAGAGCAGCAAGTGCTCGTTGTTGCATCAGAGCAGCAAGTGCTCGTTGTTGCATCAGAGCAGCAAGTGCTCGTTGTTGCATCAGAGCAGCAAGTGCTCGTTGTTGCATCAGAGCAGCAAGTGCTCGTTGTTGCATCAGAGCAGCAAGTGCTCGTTGTTGCATCAGAGCAGCAAGTGCTCGTTGTTGCATCAGAGCA